CCAAATTATGGGCCCCTCTATGTGGGGGCTATGTCAAAACATGGGCCGATAATTTCGACTTGCCATGTTGTACTTGAGAATAATATCAAGAAAACTAAGGTAGGTCATTAACCACACCACCCGGCATTGAAACCTGGCTTGTGTCTAAAACCATAACGTAAACGCTACTATGGAAAAGTAAATCGACTTTCGATTAATCGTCTTTTTGTACTGAAAAATCGAAATCGACTTTTGATCTTTGATGTTGTCACAAAGTCGACTTTTAAAGATCGACTTTCGATTTTCTTCATAAATACTTAGTTTATTAACACAAAGCCCAAATTGCCCAAAAATTACACAAATCCAGATGTTTATTTAATCTGTTGACAACAATTCATATTAAAAAATTATTTTTTAGTCGATTTTGTGTTAGTCGGTTAAAGGCCGAAAATCAATTTTGAACAGGTTTTGCAAAATCGAAAAGTCGACTTTTAATTCAAAGGCAATAGACGAAAAGTCTAAAAATCGACTTTTTGGCCTTAGGCAAAAATCGAAAAGTCGACTTTTGCGCTCGACTATGTATCCCTAAACGCTACTGGTATTTTGAAAAACAGATGCCTCAGGATTATATGCAAAATGTTCTCTCCCAACACAATAAGTAAAACAGAACCGTGGTACCAAACGAAGCCGGAACACAAACAAAAGCAGATTAAACGTAGAAAATCGTTTTAAACAAATTGAACTTTGCCTTTTTATTTAATTCGAACCCACACTAATACAAGAATTCCCCTTAAATATTTCAAATGAAAATCTTAACTCTTGAAGATATAAACGCGTTTTTTCTCGAAACAGTGATTTTACGAATAACTCAAAAACAAATAATCCCATCAGTTCCAAATTTATTCTGTACAAATATAGCTATCTTTTCAACTTAGACAAATTAATCAGTCAAGATGTTTCTTATTTTCTAACTTTATTTGTGTACAAAAATAGGGAATTTCCCAGAAATCAAATTTCCTAAGTCCGCAATTTTGTTAATTTTAGTGCGATGTTCTAGTTCTAGTTTTGGAGTCGAAAAGAAAAACAAAAAATAATGCCTTAAGGCTTGGTCGCTGTTTGATTTGATATCTTTGTTATAATTATTGCTAGAGGCAACGAAATATTTTTTCTGGCCGAAGTTCATACTTCTTGAGATATTGGCTTCTTAAGTTCCATTGGGTCACTGTTTTTTTTCATTCATTTTAAAATTAGCTATGCGAATGGCCTTACATATAACGAGGATGAGATAATATTATGGTACAATAAAAGGGGTAGATTAATGCCTTAATTTTTTTCTTGTTTGTGCCCCTGTTCTGACAAAACAATAACTCAATAACCTACTAATTTTACAAGTTTTGCAACTTTTTACTCGAAACCCATTCCTGAACCCACAAACTTTGTTGCAAAAGGCCAAAATAAATTGAAAATGACAAATCTGTTGGTTGATACGTATTTCCGTTCGATTTCATTCAAATTATATGGCTAAGATGTCAAAACATTGTTGCATAAGTTAATTAACCATCAATTTCTATTGGAAAATACGCCTAGGACCATCTAAATATTAAGAATGGGCTGGTATCTTTAAATGAAAGCTAGATTAAAATATTGGGCTATAATTATAATTTTTTTGCTAAAATATTTCCGTTCCTCAAATTTAGGTTTAGTTTTATACAGGTTTAGCGACTATATACAATTTTGTATGATTTCATCCAGAAGTTTATTAACCAACAAGAATATGGAATTCCTAACTTTACCCACGAAGAAACCTAAATGACATAAATTTCGGATAGAAGATGTATCTGAAACCTTCAAAAGTCGAAAGTGGTGCGGGAACTGTCAAAATGTCAAATTCGATCCACTTCGGTTGAATAATGTCACTTAGGCACAAAAAATATCTAAAATTGTTAATAATACGTGGGATGTCAAAACATGGGCCAATATCGAACTATATATTCTGCATAAACCTATTACCCTTTTAATATTTAAGAATATGGCATGGCAAATTGCAGCCTTCTTGGTTGAAAGTTGATGCTAAGTTTAGCACCTTTCGAGTCTTTAAGCCAGGCATAATGATATCTATATTGCTTCAATTCGCAAATAATCGGAAATTTCCTTTGTATGCTCATTACTTTATTTGTTTTTTGAGGCGATATGTATTCTTCAAATATAATGTGGTCCCAAAAAATTGCAAAAATATATCCATTGTTCTAAAGACTTTGTTAATTCGTTTGTTTACAGAAATCTGCTGTTCCTTAGGCTGGGGACGGAGAGATAATCGATGTATCTTCTTACAATGCGATATGATATCCTCACATTATTGGTTTCCACATATATTTGTGCATCAAGGTTCTCCAAGTCATCTTGTATCGGTTATTTCGAAGTAGATCTTATGTGTTATACCGTTGTAATATTAGAAAATGTTTTGACAGACTCATTAATTGGAATATAGAACGAATGAGATCAACCTAAAACATGCTCATCAGCTATATCAATCCCTTTAATTTCCCGAATTGAAGTATGTCATGGAATGCTATTCGGCAGTTATGAAGAGATTTTTAAACTATAGTCCGCGTCTTGATTGACGCATTACTATCTTTCATTTGGAAACCTCAAATGTGATCTCCTTCAGCCTTATTGTATTTCTGATAGATTGAAACTTTAATATTCAGACATAGTTTGAAATTAAAGCAGCCTGGGAGTGCTTATAGATGCTTTCAAGTTTAAGGAATGCAACAGGGGTTTTATTGTTCATCACATACGATATTCTGATGTCGATGACATACCCGACGACAAATTGCTACAACTTATTTCAAAATAGTTCAACATTTATCCGAGCAACTTATTTTTTATATGTAGCTATCGGAACGTATGCATTTCTGAATTCTGGACGGTAGGAATTGTCCCATCTTCATCATTGAAGGTTTTTTAATAAGAAATGTTAATTTGATTGATATTCCAAGAAAATGAGGTAAACATTACCAATTGAAGCAATATTTTGATATCATTACACATTTACATATAAGGGTTAAGATTATTTTCCCCCCAGCAGCATGGTATAATAATAGAAGGTAACAGCAAGTGTTGTTGTACAAAAAAACGATACAACAACCACATGTAAATTTGTTGTTGTAAGTTCTATTAGTGTCAACTCATTTGACAGAAAAATGTAAACAAACAAATAAATTATCATCAAATTATTTTTATTTTGAAAATGAAATATTTTCGAATCCTCAAAATAAAAATTGAAAAACATGAATGAAAATCTATCAAATTTATATTTCTATCGCTTCCACATCTTTCCTATAATTGAGCCATTGCCATATATATGTGTAACACATATGAAAATGCTGGGAATAGCGAGTTATTCCTTCATGAAAGATTTGCTTCCTCAAACTTTCCCAGCAGGCAGATTGAGTAAATAGAATACGTGAGCACATTTAATAAAGAACAATTTCAAATTGTTTCCGTTCCCAATTTTCCTGTTGGGTGATTTTTAAAAACATAATTTGTCAAATTCATATTGACACTAGTATTACGTTGGAATCAAATCAGCTGGGATTTGCTGTTACCTTTTATAATTGTACCATGCCCCAGCAGCAAAAAGAAAACCGTTATGAAAATACAACCCTGACTTATTGTCTGTCAACGTTTACTCACATTCATTTGAAAATTCACAACAACAGCTGATTGCTGGAGAGACACATGTTTGTTTTTATTTTTCTTCTTCAATGCGTTTTTGGTGTGTTGCTTGCTTGTCTGCTTTCGTTGACCACCATACCAACAGTTTGATGTATGACTGACTAACTGAAAGTGTGTGGGGCAGTGGAAGAACAACATTGAAAGAAAATCTCAAATCTAACCTCACATCTTGTTCTTCTTCTCACACACAAACAAACAAACTGACGAACACTCAACTCTCAACGTATGAAGAACGCACATCAAACCAAACAACAAGAAAGCAACCCAACCAATCTGCCAGCCAACCAACCAAAGTCAGGCAGACAGGCTGAACGACAAGAAGAAGACGTAGAAGAAGCAGCAGAGTCAATTTTTTTTTCATCTCCTTCATACAGTCGTGCGTACGTACTACAAAAATATTACGTTAAACAACTTTGTAAAAGTCAAAAGGGGAATTTTCTTCATTTCCACTTTTGCAGAACGAAAATAAAACGAATTTTTCAAAGAAAATTCCCTAAATATTTCAAAATAATTTCGAAGACGTTGTGAAAGAACCCAGTGATTTGAAAATAATTGTGATAAAATATAGTACAATGTTTGTTGTTGTTCTTTAGAGGAGAGATCATAACGTGAAAAAGCAGAAGAAGACGAAGGAATATTATTTTCCAAGATTATAACCCAACCACACTAGGTATCCCATCATCAACATAACATCGACCACCTACCTGCCATCTATCTCTTCGAGTCGACAACGAACACCTTTTTGTCAATAAGAATTTCATTTGAGAATTAGCCAAGGAAATCGAAATCGTATCGTAGAAAATATCCAATTAAGAAAAATCCAACCAAAAACAAAACTACTTGAAGGAGGAAGTAAACGAACGAAAGGATTACAAAACAAACGAAAGAAAATGATGAAATTTATTTAAACAACAACAATACCACACACTCTGAGCGAGTGAGAGAGAGTGAGGAGGGGACATTCTGCAATTCCTTAAAAACAAGCACTAGAACACACTACAGACAAACAACGACCAACCGGTCCTTTTTGTTTGAGTTGAGTCAGCTAGCCAGGTGGTGCTCTGTCCCCCACACCCGAACCAGCATTGTTGTATGTCCTGTACTATAATATATGCCTATTATTACATTATAGTTTTTGTTTTTGAAACTAATCTATTTTTTCTTTCTCTTCCATGTCATTCTTACTCCACCCTCCTCTACACCCTCATGGCCATAGTTTGGATTTATTAGTACTAGTCCTTCGGAGTGTGTTTGTGTGTGTCTGGAACAGGAAGTACACACAACATTTGTCGTTGTTGGAGTGGACCAGGAAGCATCAAAGAGTTTCCGCGTCTGCTCGGCCTGAATTCTGGAGTAAATAACGCTTGACGTCGTTATTGCACTCTGGAAGCCGCATAGGGTAAACAACACCCTCCCAAACCTATTATGTCATCCAAGGAAGAAACTTCAACAGCAGCGGTAGCTTCGGCTACCACTGTTGCCAGTGGTGGTAGTGGCAGTGCCACCGGTTGCTCGTATGCAAATGTTTTGCAAAATGTCGATGCCAAAAAGGTTGTAGCCGCCGCCACTCCACCAACACCGGTAGTGGAAGAAAAATCTGCTCCGACTAATCGCGAGGAGAAAGAAAATCAACCGGAACTTAAAGCCAATAAGTCCTGGTGTGATGATATTGAACCGGATACTACTCCAGCCACTGCCACAGTGGCTGGGGAGAAACGTGCTGCCGTCAATACTGACACAGCAGCTGAAAATTCTTCCGAAGTTGATGACAATGGTGATTTTGTTCCTGTTGTTTCGAATTCTCGCCGTGATCGTAAAAAGGCACGCAAAGAAAAACCACCACGTGATGGACGCAATGTAAGTGCTGCTGCCGCTGGTGGTGGTCAGGGTGGTCCCAAGTCGGGACCTCGTCAACGTGGTGGCAATGGCAACGCTGGAGGTAATGCCAATACCGATAAAGATGGTGAACGTAAATATCCCCCCAGACAACGTCAACGTAATGGCAGTCCACGCAAATCGAATGGTGGCGGCCCCAAGGGAGGCCCAAAGGAACCACGCAAAGATGCTTCACCCAGTGCTAGTGCTGAAAATGCTAGCAGCGGTAATGAAGCCAAAACCGGTGATGGTGAAACTCAAGCTCAAAATTCAAATGCTGCTGGTGGCAATGCTGCTGCTGGAAATCCTCCAGCACCACAACCGAAAAAATTTGTTGCTGCTCCTCCACCAAAGGTTAATGCATGGAAGGTAAGTGAAAATGTTTCAAATAAGTAGATAATGTTATTGATTTATTACCTCATGATAAGAGGACATTTTTATACACATTTTAGAACCATGAATACATGAAACCTGTAGGCCATTAATGCAGGCGAGTCACATTGCTTAACTGAACAAAGATTATTGAGAAATTAGCAGGATAACATTGAACAAAACTTTCTGACAAGTGGACTAACTTTTGGAATCTGACAGAAACTGTCCGACAACAACAATATGCTTATCTTGGGAACAAAGTAAACTCTTCATAATGACTTTGCCAGGATACATATAGCCAGGATACATATAGCATATTCACATCTTACTTCTAAAGCCTTTGTTAATTCTTTCGTTTACAGAAATCTGCTGTTCCTTAGGATGGGGACGGAGAGAAAATCGATGTATCTTCCTACAAAGTATTGCAATCTACGGAGTAGGCATACGATTGTCTTCGATACTTCTCTATCCTCCCATCATTAATGCCCACATAGGTGGTTCTCCAAGTCATCTTGTTTCGGCTATTTCGAAGTAGATCTTACGTGTTGTACCGTTGTAATTTTTGACAGACTCATCAATTGGAATATCGAACGAATGAGATCCACCTCAAACATGCTCATCAGCTATATAAATCCCTTTAATTTCCTGAATTGAAGTATGTCATGGAATGCTATTCGACAGTTGTGAAGAGATATTGAAAGTATAGTCCGCGTCTTGATTGACGCGTTGCTATCTTCCATGTGGAAACCTCACGTGATGTCCTTGAGCCTTATTTTATTTCTGATTGTTTGAAACTTTGATATTCATAGTTTGAGATTAAAGCAGCCTTTAGAGTGTCTATAGATGTTTTCAAGTTTAGGAAATGAAACAGGGGTTTTATTCTTCATCACATACGATATTCTGATGTCGATGAAATGCTAGAACTTATTCCAAAATAGTTCAACATTTATTCGAGCTACCTATCGTTTATATGTTTATCCTGATGACTATTTGGCTTTTTTAAGCAGATGTATGTTTTAGAACGGTTGGAATTCTCCTATCTTCAAAATTGAAGTCCGCAGCTCTTTATTCCAATTAGAAATGTTTATTTGTATTTGAGAAAAATCAAATTTATGAAATAAATCCAATTTATGAGATAAATATCGGTCAATAGGTCACCACGAAATAAATTTTCAACGTTTTTAATCAACTCAAAATCTCTAGAATTACTTTTCCCTTAAAATATCATTGGTTTTGATGCTTCTTGGTATGAAACGCTATCTTGTTGAAAGGAGTCCAGTCATCGTAAATTGGATGCAAAATAGTTATTTCCGGACTATAAATTGCACCAAACAGGCACGTGTTAAGAATTAGGGGGTTTCTCACCAAGAACTTGTTGTTGTTGTAGTACCCCTAATATTTATACATATTCGACTTGCGTGCTCAATACGATTTGAAGCGACTACACTTTCTAGATCTCAATTGTGCCAAAACTACTTACACTTTTGCAACTCTGGAAGAGTGACATGCGGTCGATGCCTATCCATAATAAGGTGGTGCTTTTGTCACATCCAAACATGTATTGCATTGACATTTTTTGGTGAGTGACGCACAGGAAGGATCATCGTCTCCTCTTGTAACTTGTATATTGGCGCCATGAGAAGCCAACCTGTTGCAGTCCTCAGGGCGGGCATTCTGGCAGGATTGATGGGTTTCCCATAGCATTGGACTTACATTCACGGATTGTATTCTCCCTGTAATCTCAAATTGCGTCCACAATTTCATCAGTGTGAATAAAATGCAATTTTGCTCTATAGGCCTTTTGATCTAGAGATCCTCTTTTGCACCTTTGGATCACTCTATGCAGATCGTGGAGATCTTTTCTGACATGACCGGATGGTGGATGACTATTCATAAGGTGATGCTTCAGATAACTGTTTTCCTAACACCCAATCAGGCATTGTATCGAGAACATATTGTTGTGGGTGATGCACAGGAAGGATTTTTGTCTCATCTTATAAGTGATATATTGTAGTAATGAGCAGACACCTTGTTGCAGTCCTCAGATCGGGCATTCAGGCATGATATTATATCGACAACCTATATTGGAATAATGAGCAGATCGCATTTATTATTCGAATTGGATGAAATTTGGCACAGATCATTTATTTGGTCCAAGGACGAATCCTATTGAAATTGGGAAAAATCGGTTCAGATTTATATATAGCTCCAATATATATTTTTTCGTCCGATTTAATGTAAATGGTGCACCAAAGTCCCTATGTATCTTTCAATTTGCACGAAATTTGGCACAGCGTACTGAATAGAATGTTGTGTGCTAAGTTTCGTTAAAATCGGTTCAGATTTCGGCTGTATAGCTCTCATATACAGTTTCGACCGATTTTTTGTCCCTATATATCTTTCGATTTGCTTGAATTTTGGCATAGCATACTGAATTGTATCTAGAATGATGTGTGTTATGTTTCGTGAAAATCAGTTCAGATTTAAATATAGCTCCCATATATATTTTCGTCCGATTTTAGGTAAATGGTGTACCAAAGTCCTTATGTGTCTTTGGATTAGCACGAAATTTGTCACAGCGTACTGAATTAAGCCTAGAATGATGTGTGCTAAGTTTCGTAAAGAACGATATGCAAAATATAGTACTGAATTAAGTGTAGAATAGTGTGTGTTACGTTTCGTAAAAATCGGTTCAGATTTGAATATAGCTCCCATATATATATTCATTCCATTTAAGATAAATGATGCACCAAAGACCCTATATATCTTTCGATTTGCAAGAAATTTGGCATAGTGTACTGAGTTGAGTCTATAATGATGTGTGCTAAGTTTCGTGAAAATCGGTTCTGATTTAGATATAGGTCCCATACATATTTTCGTTCGATTTTACATAAATGGTGCACCAAACTCCTAATGTTTGTCCGATTAACATGCAATTTTGCACAACGTTTCAAATCGAGACTTGAATGACTTTATTGGGTTTGGGTCACAGATTGCATGCAGGACATGAATATGTTCATTCGAGGGAATATTGACATGCAATTGTAAGGATACATGCAGGTACTACCTGTTAGTGACTTGAGAAAAACCATGTTTCTGCACCTTAACTTAACGGGACTTAGCAGTGGGGTGCTCACACGACTTATATAGGCTATCGAATGTGACATCAGTTAGGCATTAATTGCGAGTCTTGGTTCGTTTAAAATTGCAAATTCCACTTTTGCGGTTTATTAGGTACGACGCTGATAATTAAAAATTTTCCCAGTGACCGCCCAAATCACATAGATTGCTCAAGTATTAATAGATTCGTTTGAATCATTTTGTGAATATTGTTATGCATGTTCCGAAATATACATGTAAGTTATTGGCAATCAACAGGATTGTTTATTTCCGATACAAAGATCAATATATATCGCTGCTTTAGTTGCTATTAAAAGTGTGTTGAATTTGAATAGATATTAATTAGAAATGTATGTATCATGTGATCTCCAAATTAGGCTAAGTTTAACACCAATGTGGTCATTTACTATTTTGTATTGCTATACTTAGCTTTAAATACTTTGTAAAAATCTTTACCAAATTGAAATTCGGAACGAGATTAAACTCATTATTTTATTCGCCAATCGTAGACCATGCAATTTGATTCAAAAACATACAATAATCTATTAGTATTGACATTTCTATAATTTAATTTCAATTTTAATTTATATCATATATGAGAATATAGCCCAAAGGGCCAAGAGCGATTTAAATAACAACAAAATAAATAACTACTCCAAAAACTTAAAACTAACAATGTAAGTATTAGCTTAATAATATCTTAACGTCTATTCAGTTGGAGGGGTTCGTCAGAACAATTGTACTTTAAAAACATTTTTAATATTATAAATAGATTATTTGATGTAGCGACTTAGCACATAGGACCAAGAACTAAAATAATAATTCTATAGAACACACATTTTAGTAACACTTAATCTTCAATCTAAAATTCCCTATTTATTCGAAATAAAATAAAAAAAAAACAACACATCTGGTATTTGTTTAGATATTGCATAATTTTGTTTTTTCTTTTTTTTCGTTCTTCAAACATATTTGTAAAGAAATGTTTCTATTTTAACGCCCAATAATAATAGAATGATGCAATTATTGGAGCAAGCAGGGGTGTGGTATTTTGCAAATATTTTAAGATAAAATGACGTTACTTGTTTCTTTTAAATTCTCATCTCTAATTCAGTACAGAATGTTATTCGTTGTTGTTGTTAATATAGTACACTATTATTTAACTTTTCTCTCCACAAAAGCAACAACACGTGCTTTGTATAAACAAAATAATAATAATAAAACAAAAATATACAACAACAACAAAACTCAGCAAAAAACAATAACAACACATACTGACACACGAGTGGAAACAAATTATAATTCCACAAACCAACATCACAAAAACAAGAAAACAAAAAAACGTGTTGGAAACAGTTTTTTTTTGGTTAATTGTAATATTGTTTTCGATTTTTTTACTTTATTTTAATGTTTTGTTTTGTTTCGTATTTTCAACTTTTTCTTTTTTTACTCTCTTTTTTGGTAAAGTCAAGAATATTGTTTTAGAAAATACGCAGTTTTTTGGACACAAACAGTTTGTCATCGGTTAGAATTCAAAAATATTGAGTGTTTTTGTGGGAATGTTTACATATTGTCATTGAATATTTTTACTGGGTCTAATATGGTTCTTAACGTTTTGACTGTGGTTAAAACGAAGTCCCAGGGCAAGACTGAAAAACACATAAATACAGAAACTTTTTAAATTGGAACGTTTTAGTAGGGGTTAAAATTTTTTAAATTTTTATCATTTTGTGTGAGAGACGGGTCCTATTGTCAGACATGATATAGGTTTGGTAAAAATATTACCATGTCCAAATGTAATATAAAATCAGATACTCCATGCGCATGATGTTTTAAATTTATTTTTTTGGTCATTCTGTGGATGAAGTACCAGAAGG